ACTGCTACTGCTGCTACTGCGACGACAACTACGACTACGACTGCGTCTACGACTACGACGACGACGACGACTTCTACGATTATGGCGACTAGCACGACGACGACGATGGCTGCGGACACGGCGACTTCCACAACGACGACGGTGCCACTGCTACCTTGTCGAAAATTGTCTCAGGCAGTTGGCTGAGATGTATCTAAGACAATCGCGTGATCAACATGTCAGGTTGCCCGAGAAGGTTGGTGCATCTCATGCCTAAGTGGCAGTGCATAATGTCTCTCAGCGTGCCTCCACGCCATCAAGTTGGCCCGCTGTAAATATTAGCATGTTCGCTCATGTCTTGCTCGTGGGTCTACATATATACCTATTTACTTTGGACCGTTGGGATCCCATGGCTTCGCAACATGTTGTTGACATGTGTAAAGCCGTAGAAGTCTCGAGTCAAGCTCTGGGTACCACCGGTTCGGATGGTTACCCCATCTAGCCTTGTGCTGGCTTCCATCCGCGAAACCCCAAACCTTCAGACCTAAGCCCGGAACCCTGAACCCTAAACCCATAAACCGTAAACCCCTAAACCCTAAGCCCCTTAACCCCAAACCCTACACCCATGTCTCTAAACTTGGACCCCGTGTGGCGCAGGACCGCTCCGGACGACCGAGCCATGTTCCAAGCAGCCCGGACTCTTCAAAGACGTTTGGGGGCTTCCAGGGTTTTGCGCTTGCCCTAGGGGTCCATGTACCCAAATAGTAGATACCTTGGCCTTAAACTAGTCCTATTTGGGTACTTTGGGACCAATGTATCTACTATTTGGGCACATGGACCCTTAGGATTGTTTCTCAAGTTCTATATAAGATCATATGATTTGTAATTTTCAATCTATGTGATAATGGACTATCATCATAGCAGTCTTGTATATTGGGTTAAGTCAGGTTCTAGATGACATTGTATTACTACAGGAGGCAGCAGTCTCGGCATCAAAGCAATCGTGCACTCTTTCGGGCACTTCCGCATCGTCTTCAGCTTCTTCATACTCCTGTTTCCAGCCCAACACCAGGCGAGGATCTGGGCCAGGAGTCAGTTCTCGTAATGTAGGGGCCGAAACAATTACCAATACCAGCTTGGGGGTTCCTCAGTATACTTATAGTCGTATAGTATCATGGGCTCCAGCACCCTATTGTAGTTATTCGGGCCCCTATATTACATGCAATCGTCAATAAGACGTGCAACGATTCTTTACTTCTCTTCTCCTCTTGAAGTGTCCAGAACGCCCCCGAAAGTGTGTGTTGAAGCCATCCGCCGAAAACGAGCCTTGTGCAACCAATGTAAAGCTTCAAATGCTCAAAACTCTGACACCCAGCCCCCTTCAGCCCCCTTCAGCCCTGCCTGCACACCCGCATAGCACCCTTCTGCATCCCTTAGAGGAGTCTTATGCCCTGAACTCCTAAGGGCCCAAGACCCAAGAACCTACATGACTACTATCCAAAACCCTACGTAAACCCTGAACCCCAAACCAGGCAAGCAACCTAAGCACCTAGTTGCTGCCCTTTAGGGAGAAGAAACTCTTCTGAGGTTTCTGGTTTCTGGAGTACCTGTGTTTTTGTTGGGACCCGTGCCTTAAAGGAACCATTACGAAAGCAAAGCTTATGCTTTTTCTCCTGATTACTTTGGATTTCGTGGGTAGTTTTAAGTAGGATAGCCATAGTTATAACCCGTATTCATGGACTTATGACCATGCTTATAACTAACCACGAACCTCCCTAGTTACTTCAAAGCCCAGGTTTTCCTAAACCCTATACCTTACAACTTAAGCCCTAAACCCTACACCCTAACCCCGAACCGCTAAGAGCCTAAAACCTACACCCTAAACTGCCCAGGTTTGCCTGTGGTCAGGGAAAGCCACCAGTCCTGGGATCATGGAACGAATGGAGAGGCACTTTGCTTTAGGGTCTTAGGGTCTTGGGGTTTCGGGTCTCGGGGGTTTGGGGTTGTAAGCCCTAAACCCAGCCATTAGCCTCTCTCAAGGTTGCTGAGGCTGACGCATCGTGTGAACTCTTGTGGGATGACGTGTGGCAAGTTGATTCTTGCCGCCGCGCCTTTATCGTCCGATTGTTCTCGCCATGAGCACAGCAGTCCACCCAAGGCATTAAAGCCATCACCCCAACCCGCAGACATCGAGAAAAATCGTCCCGCAGCCCTCCGCAAGGATTCATGCAAGAGGTGTCAAGACAAACACTCGGCATCCATATTTGCATGAGTCGATTTGTACAGTCTCACATGTTACCACTTCAAACGTTCATATCGCACTGAGCCGGCTTGAGTCGCAGGAAAAGTTAGCCCAGTTTCTTTTGATTCTGGTAGCGGAGCTTCGGCTCCTGCTTCGCTGCGTGCAGCCATAGCTGCAGCCTGGCTGGAGGCTAGGCAGCCGGGGCTTTCCCGAGCTTACACGTGCACTACGAGCACTACGACTACGAGACTTCGGTCACACGGAATTCGGGCTTTCGCCCTTCTGCTTTGCTTGGTATCACCACATAAGAGTCCCTCCCTTGGCAGTCTCTGGAAGCAACAGGACTTGAACAGCAGCCCCTGGCTACCGATCGCAGCGAGAGCTCTACTACACGATCCGCGGCCAGCCCAATTACCTGAAGGAGTTCAAGAACACCTAGGAGACCCTCTACCGCGTGCAGGCAACGAGTCCGGACCCTTTGCATTACACGATCCACGGCGAGCTCAAGGGACAATGGCTTCTCCGAATGGGTCCTCCTCTAGCGGGGGCATTCCTCTGGAGGAGTGGAGAAAAGATGTGCCACCAGGTTGGGGCCCAGGAGTCGACAGCTACCCCTTGAAGCTCTTCTTCAGCAAGCTGAAGCTGTGGTACAGGTGCACAGAAGTTCCCGACGAGATCGTTGGCCCTTTGGTTGCTGGCCGTTTGGTTGGGCGAGCTCAGAGGATAGCCTTGGAGCTCAAGCTGATACGGCCGGATGGGACCTACGACGTCGGAGACGCAGCCCTCGTCCGTTTGACGGTCGACCAAGTTGTGGACCCAGCGGACGGGATCACCATCCTGCAACACCACATACCTTCTGGAGTACAAGCGCTTTGCAACGCCCTGAAGGAGGCTTTCGGAGAAAGCGACGAAGCTCAGACTACAAAGGCCTTAGAGATGTTTTTCGAGTATCGTCGTCCGCCCTCGCAAGGTCTTCAAGAGTTTTCGGCCGAGTGGGAGCTGCGGTTCGAAGAAGCGAAGGTCAAGGCCGGCTTGGATGTGAACAATGTCGCGAAGACCTACCTTTGGTTGAAGCAGTCAAATCTTCCTCCTCGACATCAAGATGATCTTCGACTACAAGTACAAGGAGATTTGTCGAGGTTCAACGACATCCGAGCACTTGCCCTACGGCTCTCGCACCGCATGGACCGCCCTGGCCATGACAACTTCTATGAGGAGACCTATGCGGATGACGGCGATGACACCAGATGGGATGACGAGTTCTTCTGGGCCGACGAGCAGTGGTCCGAAGAACCGTGGCCGTATGACGAGGAGACCTACTACCAGGACATGGATGAGCAATCCTGGTATGGTGATGAGTCCTACTACGATGAGTATGGCCCGGACTGGCAAGGAGATCCTGATCTGGAGCCCGGACACCAAGGAGGCAATGACGAAGGCATCCGCCAAGATGCCGATGGAGTCTACAGCTCTGGAGGCTTTCGCCCGCACAAGGGGCGAGGCAAAGGACCCTTTGGCAGCGGCTGTCACATATGTGGCTCGAAGTGGCACCATGCAGCCGACTGTCCCGTGAGCAGCAAAGGCAAGGGATACAGTGGAGGCTCTTTCGGCAAAGGAAAAGGAAAGGGGTTCAAAGGCCGAGGCAAAGGCAAGGGCAAGTCGAAGGGCAAGAACAAGGGCAAAGGTAAGTGGTCACACAAGGGCTCCTGGTCCTCTCCAGATGGACCGCGTTCCTGGATGCCTCGATATTACGCTGACCAGAGCCCGAAGACCACCCGCCAGCTTCGACATGCACAACAAGGTCTTCACCTCGGCGATGATCCTCCTCCGTCGACGAAGAGCACCCAATACTTTGACATGTCACGGGACAACGGAGTCAGAGAGACCTACTTCGAGGATTTGTTGCGCCTCGAGCGGACGGCCACCTCCGTCGTCAAGGAGATCACGGAGACAGCAGCAACCGATGATCAGGAAGGAGCACCAGATCCTTCAAAGGACGCCGCCGCCAAAAGGCTCACCTTCTTCTTTCGCAAGCAGGTCGACGGCGAGGAAGTGAGGACCCCTCGGCATGCCACACACTACGGCCACTCGGATGGCACCGAGGTGTTCCACACGATACAAGGAATGCGACGTCGCGGCCTCATAATCGACCCAGGCGCCGCCAATGGCCTGGTGGGCAGCGAAACTTTGCGTGACCTTCTGCAACACTGTGACTTCCGAGATCAAGTCAATGACACCGTCACCTGGTCGGAGAAACAGTCCGAAGTGACAGGAATAAGTGGTGCTGCTGACACCACCCTCGGGGAAGTGTGCCTACAGCTTCCTATGCTTCCTGGACTACGAGATGCCTGTTACGTCGCAGATGTTGTTGGAGGAGAAGCAAGCTGCTGCCCAGCACTGGTGGGCAATCCTGCCTTGGTCAAGATGGGTGCCATCATCGCATCCAATTGGTTTGAGAACAAGGATGGACTCCTTATTGTCCCCGCTGATGGCGAAAAGGAGAACGACATGCACCTCTTCCGGCTCCTCTACACGGACAGCAGGCACTACATGTTGCCCGTTGATGAGGCCACGAGCGCACAGTCTGAGAAGGGCCGCGTGCAGACCTTTCTCTCGGCTGTGCACCAGAAGTCTTCTACTACTTGGGCAGACGTTCGTGGCACATGGTTCTTTTCAAGGACGCAAGACATGCCAGAGCCAAAGCGGAGTCATCATGTGGTAAAGTCGCTACCTCAGAAGCCATCGGATTCATCACCTACAGAATCATGTTCAGTTCTACCTCAGAAGCCCTCG